CAACTTGAACCAACGATTCCAGCCATAAATAGCAATGGATTTTAAATTAAAATGAAAAACTCGTGATTGTTTTTTATTTTTGCTTCGATTGCCAAGCGTTTGTTAACTATGTTTGGGTTTTTTTATGTGCATGAAGAGGTATGGCTCATGCCGCATGGACATAAAAACACGGTCACAAGTGCACACACGAAGCATGTGCAACGGAGAGCGCATACGAAAAATCATATTCATTATGGAAATTGTGCAATTTTTCATTCATAAACATTTAACACACACACACACACACACACACACACAAACAGCACAGAGAATAGTCAAGCATACAAAAGCGTTCGTAGTAAATAGTAGGCACGATTTACCGCGCGCAGCTTGACGTGCTATTGCCGTTTGATATCAGTTTGTTGTTTGTGGTGTCGTTTGTGAGTCTCTTTCTGTGTTGTTGTTGGTGTTTTTTTTTTCTCTGTGCACATTTTTGCCATCTACTGTTTTTCGTCGCGCAGCAATTATATTCCCAACAGCTGAATGTATGAATAGTATCGGGCAGTGCTTTGACTCGCGGCCCGAGATATTCAACGGATATTGTGCAAAAATCGAAAAGCAACCAAACACGTTCAGAACTTGCTCGACATTTCTTTATTTCGTATATAAATCAATTTTTTTTCGCGATTATAATTGAGATTTGGTGAAATAAATTTCAATCTTTTCCTGTTTTATAACGGTTCAATATTTCATATTACGAAGTAACCAATGCAAGTACGATAGTAAAAACACGATTTGGATTGAGATGCAGCGCTGTAGCAGAGTGCAGTGCACTGAATCACAGTTTTAGCTACGTGACGATGATGCATTGTGTCAAACAATCATTCACAAGTGGTTATTGCAAAGCTGTATAGCAACGTGCGCCGTTTTTCAAAACCGAGTCATCGGATCTTGGATTGTTTTTGATTTGAAATGGCACCAATGCAACACAATCACTCAACGATACTCATCGTGAGTGGTTCAATGCAAACGGCATTCTCTTGAAACAATTGATGATGTTTTGGCCCGCAAGGTATTCGAGGCACTTCCATGCGAACTGAGCCGTATTTCGAAACGACGTGTGAAAATGCATGGCTTTGATTAACGGTGACGCAAATTTGCATAATTAGTTGCACAGTATAAACAATAAATCAAACGAACCGAATGTTATTGAAATATGAATCATTTTGGTTAAAATATTAAATGCTAACAAGTTCGTTGTATCTTGTTGCTGCCACACAAAAGTGATTGTTTTGATCGGTTCGGTATTTAGAATCGGAACGATATGAGAATCGCGTGCACAACATACTTTAATTGAAAGTAAACGATTCACATTGAGGTCGGACTCCATTGCGGCAATGGTGATTCGTGATCGCGCATTCTGGTTTTTTGCACTTGTTTCAAATCTCAGATTGATGTAATGCGATTCCTTGCTTATGTCACAGCACATAGTTACGCGTGCTACTTGTTATGCACCGTTGCCGCGTTGCTCCAACATCGTTCTCGCCTGATATTGCTCATCAGCCAAGCATGAAGTACATCCATATAAGCATCTAATGCTAGCACTGCTATTAAATATGAACTCGATCCACGACAGATTAAGTGACAAATTCTCGTCGACCGAATGTATCTTGACACCAAAACGCAAGGTTCGTTAAGAGATGGGTGCATTCCATTCGCCCGAAGATTGATTATACACATTTAAAAGCACAATCAATTTTCAATCGAACATTCATACACCGAATACCGATCACGATTGATAAAGACACAAAGACATATTTTACAATCACTTTGGATTTAACAAAAAAAAACATAGATGCAATTAATCGAACGTCGAGCATTGAAAAGGAATCGACTATTGGGCCACGATTATGTCGTATTATTGAAAACAAATCTTTTTTAAGCAGTAGTTGAAACGTTGATTCTTATTTAGATTTCTCAATTAAAAATTATGACAACTGATTTACGAACAAAGATACAAATTCCAGCATCCATTTGAGCGTGTGCATTCTTGGCTCTTCTCTTTTACCATGTATTCCTATTCATTTCGGGCTTTTCATATCTTTTTTTTATGCACGTACATAATTCTCGTTTTTTTATGAAGATTATCAAACAAATTTTTTTTTAACCTATGCTCATGAGCTGATCTCGCCAGCCCACTTACACGTTATAATCGAAAATGAGCGAGGGTTTCTCGATCATTTGTCTTTCATTTTGATAGGCTGCCGTTTTCATGCTCCATTCGACAGTTTGAACTCTTTCCGATTACAACATTCATTTGATTATCTCGTTATTTTCCGAAGTAAACAGAAATTCAATTTCATGTTGTTTCCCCTCGAACATCAAATATTGTACAATGCTAGGTACAATGTTTTTCCATTTCTTGGCCTTTGTTTTGCCATATCATTCTCATATCGCTCGTTATGTTTCGAACTTTTGAAATGGCATTCAAAACCAAGCGAGAGAAATTAAATATACGCGAAGATGGGAATAACGATAAAATTGAGAAGCATCAACCAAAAAAAATTAGCATTTTTAATTAAAAGTATATTTTTTTGTTTGTTGCTCAGTTTTCGTTCATTAGCGGAATCGTAGTAATAAAACTGGTGACGAAAACCTTTCCAAATGTGTCATTCGATGTGAACGAGAGGAAGAAAAATATCAAAATCTCACATATAATCTCTCGATTAGCAGTCGTGAACCGTTCATGCTCAGTTTTTTTCTTCCGGCGATTAACTATACAGTGAAATAGACAATTTTTTTGACATCGTCATTTTACAATGTAAATAAATATTCATTAGCTGTTTTTGGACAGTGCGTCTGGCTGGCCAAGTTGCGGCTGTCAGATAAGATTGCGACGCACTGTCAGTGTTCGATTCGATAGTGACGCTAAAAAAAAAATTCAACAATTCCATGGAAACACACAATTGTACGTTCATGGCGACGAATGAAATGAATTTGATTTCGAGTCTGCAACGAAATTTAATTAAACAAATGGACTTTCATGCTGATAACATAACCATGAACTGTGTTATGACAAATTTATGATGATTTCACAGTGCCGACGAAATGCAAGGGAATTTTTGTTTTCGGCCAACGTTATGCAAATTGAATTCGGCAAACGAGTGATCTAAAAAGAGTCGAATTTCATATGTAATTCAAATTTTATGTATAATTTGGTCATTTTGCCGCTAATTTACAGTCAAAAATTAGCTAATTTTCAATTTAGCATCCTGACACTAAACGGTAGTTGATTATCTGGAATTTCATCAAATTCACATCTGTTTGGGCCACTGGGCGTATACAGTATTCACTCGAACCTACTCTGATACTATTTTACAGTGAAATTTGATGAAAATGAAACAAGTTTCCATAACACATTTATAAGCTGCCGTTTGTTACTGATGGGTTTTTAGATGTTTTTTTCTACAACGTCATCCATCGACCGATGCATCATAATTCATTTCGATCGATTAAACACATGTAACATGTCTTATCAGAACATGCATAATGATCTCAAATTCGAAATGATTAAAAACTCAAAATGTATTTGGCTTCATTTGAATAAAAACATTGCATTTGGAAAATGCATTTTTTTCATTTTCCATTTGTGATAAATGACCGAATGTATGGTGTTTTTGTTAATGATTCGATGCACCGCTGCAATAAAAACTTATCTCGCTGAGTTTATACTTGAGCCGCGCCTAAAGTGTACAGTAAATTCATTAATCATTAACAGTTATCGGATTTTCATTTAACACCACACAAAAGAAACTCTTTTCTCAGTTAATCGAAAACGCCTCAGCACACACCACCACTCTCGACACAGTTTCGTTTTTTTCTCTCTTCAATTAAAAGAAGGCCGCTTCTTCTCGGATGCATTTTTTCGTTGAAATGAAACAAACCAAATATGCAGTGGCTGCTGGTTTAACCTATGGAAAAACCTACAACACATATTTGACCACCTTTTTTTCTGGCCAAAGAATAAACTGCTTCGATCTATTTTTAAACACGTGAAATAAATTTTTTTTACACCACTCAAATTTTTTGTACATCTCGTCAAACAATCCTTTCGTTTGTTGTTTCATTGCCATGTTCTCAGGCCGATTAACGCATTCGTGGGACCACTCATATCGATCGAATCCATTAACTTTTTCCAGTTGACTTCAAATGGCAAACAAAGTGAAAAAAAATCAATTTTTTCTTCTTCGTGAGCAAGTAAACACTCCCATTGCATATGGTCCTCACTCCTCAAGTAGTTAGTTTACTTTGTGAAATATCGTTGAAGTGGTTGTTGACAACGTCGCACAATCGACAACAGAAAAAAATGAGTGCCTTTTATTCAGTCGGAGTTTTCAAGTGATTCAATCCATTCTCACACGGTCATCTTTGTTGTGACTCTTAAAAAATTCGAAAATATTTCAAGTCATTCACTCAAATCAGTGCGATTTCCGAATTATTTTTCGAAGTCGTTGGTACGGTTGACGGTCATAAAACATAACCAACCCTGATCGTGATGAAATCGTTGAAAAAAATCTATTGACAATAATTGCGTGGCATCTTGAGTTCTTGGAAGATCCGCTGCATTTTCAATCGATTCGTTTGGCTGGTCATTCTTATATTATAAAAAATGAAATGAACCAATCATTTTAACTTGGTGCTCAGAAATTTTATTGTGCAAATCGTAGGTAAGAATTGAAATGAATTGGGTGCATATTCAAATAAATAAAATAATTTATAAAGTGCCCTAGAGAATTCCAATAGTGTGCATCATTTAACCACTTCATGTATGTGTCTGCCGTCTGACTCCAATGCGTTTGATGAAGCTTTACAATGAAATAAGTTAAGACATTAGTGAGTTTATAGCAATCATATTTTGGTGTGATGAATTTAGGGTTTGTTCTAAAGATGGGCTGTGCTGGCTACCCCGTGGACAAAAGATGGCCACCTCTATCACTATCACTAGTACCTTAAGTAGCGCCTTAGGTACTACTAGTTGGAGCAGTGGATGATGTAGAAGAGGTCGACCTGCTTGTGCTTGCTGTCGATGACGTCGACGATGTGGCACTGCCTCCATTACCGTTGTTACCGCCATTGTTACCGTTGTTGCCGCCATTGTTACCGTTATTACCGCCATTGTTACCGTTGTTGCCGCCATTGTTACCGTTATTACCGCCATTGTTACCGTTGTTGCCGCCATTGTTACCATTATTACCGCCATTGTTGCCACCGTGGTTACCTGAATTTCCTGATATAATAAATTATATTTCAATGAATAGTTAAAACAATGTATAGTCATTTCCATTAATATCTGTTACGAAGAAATGTCAAAGCAAACAAGACGAAACAAACATACCCTTGGTGATTATGTATCAATGGAGACGAACCAAAGCGCTATATGGGAATTTGCATGAAAACTAAGCACACACGCGCCTCCTTTTGGAAATTTTATCATTGAAACCCAAGTAATACATGCGAACCAATGGCAACACATATAATACATAGTAATTTGATATGTTTCGTTACTTGGGATGCGACATTGACGCGCATTGCCAACCCGTGTGAAAAAATAGTAACTGAGCAGTCAGTTAACTAATTTGGGACAAAAATGACTTACTTTGATTGAAATTTCAGTACAAAGTGTAGTGTAAGTCTATCATAGTTAACTGAAATCATTTGAAGTTACAAGTCAATCTAAGTTGCTTCATTTGGGACCAAGTTATTTTCTTAGAACAAAAATATAAATTCAATCAACTAAAGTCAACTGAAGTTATAGTCAATCAGTCATTTCTTTTTCACACGGGAACATGAAAGAAAATAATTTTTCTGAAATATTCTGTTTGTTTTCTAAATCGTAGTTTTTTTGAACATTATTTTGGAGGCATGCAGTTAGATTCATATTTTAAAATATTTTGAATAATTTTACACTGCATTCATGAATGATTGCAAAATTTAAAATTTAATTCAGCTCATATTTTTTTCTCTATAAAACTTATAAAAATGTCTGTGGTTAATGTCATCGCTGTTATAATTATGGACACGTTTTGTTGTTGTCATATGATTTCACAAGATTCCATATTGATTACAACATATTGTGAAATTGTGAAATATTGCGAAATCATATTAAAAACCAAACATTAGCGATTTTTATATCACTAGACATTTGTTCGATTTCATCTTTATAATTCTTTTCTATTATTTTATCATAATGCAAATATAAACATGTCGGTGTGAACACGAAAAAATATGAAATGAAGAAGAATTTTTTATTTACATATTGGGATGCGCATGTACACAGCGCCCTCATGCAGTATTTATTCTGATGCAGTAATGCCAACTTTCTGCATAGAAAACTATAAATCCCCAAAAGGGTGCGCTGTTTTTTTAGAGAGCCCAATAGAGTCGCGCTACGAGACGAACAAATGAATTTTCATTACAGATGTCGATACATCAAGTGAAAAAGTCATTGCCATTGAAGGAAAAGTGGAGCGCTTTGGCTCAAAAAGGCCTACTTTTTATTCCAAAATATTCATTCCAAAAACGCACTATGTCGTAAGATATGCGGTAGTTGACGTCGAAATATTCAGTGATTCCATCAATTTGGGATAAAAAGTCTCTAAAACTGCTTTGGGCGAAAAAGTCATTGACTTTGAGAGAAAAAGTGGAGGCTTTGGCACAAAAAGACCTACTTGATCGCGTTGCTTCTTCACCGCGGAATTACTGTCAAGTTGTGCTTAGAATTTGGTCGAAGAAGAAATGTTTTTTGAATCCAAAAACATTGCTCAATGTTTTTTTTCATAGCTTAGCGACATCTGTGATTTTCAATATTCAAACCGTCTCTATATTCTCAGGAGTGCATCCCAAAATATGTCAAATGAGTTTGACATCACAGATATCAATGAAAATGAGTATACATCACAGATCACACTTATTACCGTTATGACCACCTGAGTTGCCGCCTGAGTTGCCACCTATTGCAGGAGAAATGTTGAAATTTATTTATCAAACTGAATATTGAATTTATCCTAGTTTTAATATTGAATTT